GTAGTTCTTTCCATGCGCTTTGATTCTTCTTCTTTTTAACATTCAAAGAAGTCGAGAAGAATATTCAGCCTTTATACAAGGATATGAAATACTGATAGGTCTCCAATTCTAGAAGAGCATGGAAGAATTGAGAAGTATGTGCATCAATAGAATTATGTCACAAGGGCAAGTAGGGGAGGGAATTAGTTAGGAAATAGCTATAAATAAAGGTAGGAGGAGGCTTCTATGTAGAGAAGAGAGAGACCTTTAGGGGAGTGATAGCCCGCTCGATACTTTCTGTTCTAGTATTGCAATTTTTATTCAGTTTTCATCAATCAATCAGCCCTATAATTTCAGGTTCTGATAGTGTTCTAAAAACTGCATTTGGAATCTTAACAAAGACTCAGAAAGTAGAACACCCCATATGCTATTTACAGAGGAACACTAGGGCTAGTCAAGAGTGGAGAAAATGGATGAAGGACACCTCTTCATCCTGCATGCTTCTAGCCACACTTGTTACTATATGAATGTTTGCTTCAATTTTTAAGGTACCAAGAGGAAACAACAACAATACAGGCACTCCTTTCTCCTTAACAACAAGGCATTTATTATTTTTTGTTTTACTAGATAAACTAGAGTTAAAATTCTATTTAGAGTTATTTAATTAAAATACGATACTACATGGCATTCATAATTAATTTTCATAGATGGAAATGTTCGATGCTAATTTTTAAAGATGGTGTAAATTCTAAAACCTAGAGAAATCAAAATCCGTTTTAATTCTTCAGTCTAAACAACGGACAATCCCATAACTAATTTTTCTAACAGTATTGACTAGTAAGTATAGGATGTGTTCTAGGGTTTTAATTAATTGTGAAAATTAACTAACATATTAAAATATGAACATCAAATATAATGTGATAAACTCCAAAGGGAAACAATTACGGGCCCTCATGCCACAGGTAAAATAATCCACTAAATCAAATGATAAAAAATACAATAGTCTCAGTTTTGTAATTTCACAAAAATTATAAAAACAATCAAAAGAAATCTAAGAACAACCCAATTGTTTTTTCTTCTTTTAACTTGTTGTAGAAGTGGAATCAAATAACTCGATCTTGACTTTATCACCACTTCAATATTGTACTCATTCGCAACCACCACTTGGATTAAGAATCACCATTTTGAACTCACACCGAACAGTTTGATAATTGAAAAGGACTGTCCATCAACACACTTGTTTGTTTTCTTCAAATACGTTTGAAGAAGAACGTTTGGCTTTGAAAATTTTTAATTATGCATAAGTCCGGTTGAACTTTGAAGATGGGGGCAGAATGCTTTTGCGCTAGGTCTTTAGACGTGAACAATTTTTCAAAGCTCCAATTCCAATCTTGATGAGCTCCTTTACTTATAGGTAAAATAATCATTAAATATAGGCATAAAATATTATCATGATATTCTACAATAACAAGGTAAATTTATCACGAAAGATATACAATTATCATAAAAGATACCTTAGACTCGCAGAAGTCCAATCTTGTCATAAAAGATATGCCAAGAAAATATCCTACATTATTAGAAATCCAATCCTATCATGAAAGATATTTGAAAAGATATCCTAGATTATTAGAAGTCCAATCTTATCATGAAAGATATGCCAAAGATATCCTAGATTTGTTAGAGGATTAACATAAGGAAACGTAACTTTAATTTAACAAATATTTATATTTTCCTTCTAAATAAACTTAAAAATATCTAGGATGGCATACAATATATTCTGCACGAGCTGTATATGTATAACGTGAAATCAGATCCTGTTATATTAAGAAAAAAATAAAATTCGTAGCTCAAAAAAATTGGATGGATCTACTTACCATCCCGGTTAGTTAGCATTGACGGACTATTAGGACTTGTACCTTGTTTCACGTTTTTGACAATTTTCTTGACATTTAAAAACCAATTCATACATAGTAAGTCAATAATTTAATATGTAAAAATATGACACATTTTTTCAACATATAGAAAAAGAAACTTCACTTCCTTCGCATAACTCTCAAAATGGGATACGTACTTACAACTCAAAGGCCGG